GAGGCTGCTGCAGAGGCTGCTGCTGATGCTGCTGCTGAGGCTGCTGAGGCTGCTGCTGAGGCTGCTGCAGAGGCTGCTGCTGATGCTGCTGCTGAGGCTGCTGAGGCTGCTGCTGAGGCTGCTGCAGAGGCTGCTGAGGCTGCTGCTGAGGCTGCTGCAGAGGCTGCTGATGCTGCTGCTGAGGCTGCTGCAGAGGCTGCTGAGGCTGCTGCTGAGGCTGCTGCAGAGGCTGCTGATGCTGCTGCTGATGCTGCTGCTGAGGCTGCTGAGTCTGCTGAGGCTGCTGCTGATGCTGCTGCTGAGGCTGCTGAGGCTGCTGAGGCTGCTGCTGATTTCTGCTGCTGAGGCTGCTGAGGCTGCTGAGGCTGCTGATGCTGCTGCTGAGGCTGCTGAGGCTGCTGATGCTGCTGCTGAGGCTGCTGAGGCTGCTGAGGCTGCTGATGCTGCTGCTGAGGCTGCTGAGGCTGCTGATGCTGCTGCTGAGGCTGCTGCTGATGCTGCTGCTGAGGCTGCTGCTGCTGCTGATGCTGCTGAGGCTGCTGCTGAGGCTGCTGAGGCTGCTGATGCTGCTGCTGAGGCTGCTGAGGCTGCTGAGGCTGCTGCTGAGGCTGCTGCTGAGGCTGCTGCTGAGGCTGCTGATGCTGCTGCTGAGGCTGCTGATGCTGCTGCTGAGGCTGCTGCTGAGGCTGCTGCTGAGGCTGCTGCTGATGCTGCTGATGCTGCTGCTGATGCTGCTGCTGAGGCTGCTGAGGCTGCTGATGCTGCTGCTGAGGCTGCTGCTGAGGCTGCTGCTGAGGCTGCTGATGCTGCTGCTGAGGCTGCTGATGCTGCTGCTGAGGCTGCTGCTGAGGCTGCTGCTGAGGCTGCTGCTGATGCTGCTGCTGATGCTGCTGCTGAGGCTGCTGCTGATGCTGCTGCTGATGCTGCTGCTGAGGCTGCTGCTGAGGCTGCTGATGCTGCTGCTGATGCTGCTGCTGCTGAGGCTGCTGATACTGCTGCTGAGGCTGCTGATGCTGCTGCTGTGATATCCGTACTAGTGAGCTACCTCACGTGATAGATCATTATCTTTCTACTCCTCTACTCTAAGTTGTATCAGCCGCGCATGCTTTTCCGTTGTGCTGCTGAGCTTCTCTGTCGTTCTAGTTCGGCGTTCTAGCTTTGATCTGAAGTCAACAGTTTCCCTTTTGTCTTGTCCTGAACTGCTCTGGTGTGATCATAATATTTGGCGACGAAGTCCTTGATTCAGCTGCCACGATGAGCACAGTAAAATCATTGAACCCGTTTGATCTGGAACCGCCTGAGTCGGTTGGCCCTCGTTGGGAGAAATGGCTGGCTCGTTTCGATAATTATTTGATTGCAGCAAACATCACGGAAGACGAGCGGCAGAGAGCCCAACTCTTGCACGGTGGTGGTGAGGACGTGTTTGACGTCTACCTCACCTTTGACAGCAGTAGCATTACAAGTTACGACGACTTGAAGGATGCTCTGACGGCTCACTTCAGTCCGAAGCGCAACAGGGAATACGAGGTCTACTTGTTCCGTCGTGAGAAACAATCTCAGTCGGAGACCCTTGATAGCTACGTAACTCGTCTTAGGCGTTTGGGCAAGCACTGTCAATTTGCAGATATGGACACAGAGCTAAAGTCTCAGGTCGTACAGCACTGTGTGTCGTCGAAGGTACGTGAAAAGGCTTTCATGGAGAGCAGCATGTCGTTGGCAGACCTCCTTACTTATGCACGTTCAGTGGAAGTCACGATGTCGTCTGTGGCAGCCATGGCCGGGGCCAGCAGCTTCAGCAAGCCTGAACATCCCCAAGTCCATAAAGTGGAGAGGCGACATCCATCAAGTCGTGACCAGCCCAGTCCTTCCAGTAAGGCCGTTCGCAAATGTAGCGGATGCGGGGGGAAATGGCACGACAACCGCTCGGATTGCCCAGCATGGGGCAAGACGTGCAAGTCCTGCAGCAGGTCGAATCATTTCGCAAAGGTATGCCGGTCGAAGGCTGTGCATCAGTTTTCCGAGCAGAGAGCCCCGGAGTTCGCATCACCTGACCAGACGGCGGAATACAGCGCGGAGCTGCACCACACCAGTTGCTCTGGTCATGTGCGTTCCAACGTGGATCCTTATATGTGTAGTGTGAGTCTGGCTGGCACCCCTGTTGTGTTTGAGATAGACACCGGAGCGGCAGTAACAATAATCAACAAAGCGGAGTACCAGACACTGGCGTCGAAAGATACCAAGCAGCAACTCCCCAGTCTGGAGACGAATGACCTGCCGAGCCTTAGGTCGTATGCTGGCAAGATCATACCAGTTATTGGTCGTCTCATCTGCAATGCCCGTCATGCGAAGAACTCGGCTCAGCTGACCATGTTTGTCGTCGAGGGTTCTGGTCCGAATCTGTTGGGTAGAGACGCGCTGCAGACGCTAAAGCTCAACTGGAACCGAGTCTTCAATGTCACCGGAGATCTGAGCAGTGATCTCCTGAGCAAGCATCCTGATGTTTTCAAGCCCGGACTAGGCACCTGGAAGCACGGCAGTGTCAAGCTTGCAGTCGACCGCAATGCTAGACCTCGCTTCCTGAAAGCTCGCTCTGTGCCTTATGCTCTACAGTCTGCCGTGGAGAAGGAGCTGGACAAACTAGTCGACAACAATGTCATTCAGCCAGTCGAATTCGCTGAGTGGGCAGCACCGATTGTGCCAGTTCTCAAGAGCAATGGCCAAGTCCGCATCTGTGGTGATTACAAGTGCACTGTTAACCAGGCAGCCAAGACAGATAAGTACCCATTGCCGAACATAGAGGATTTGTACGTGAAACTTGCTAATGGCTGTTGCTTCACCAAGCTGGACCTCAGTCAAGCTTATCTCCAATTACCACTGGATGAACAGTCTAAACTTCTTACCACCATCAACACCACGAAGGGACTGTTTGTGTACAACCGACTGCCTTTTGGTGTGTCTTCGGCCCCGAGCATATTTCAACGTACGCTCGACCAATTGCTAGCTGGAATACCAATGGTCGTGATCTACTTGGATGACATCCTTGTCTCTGGCACAACTCGTGAAGAACACGACAAACATCTGAACATGGTTCTGGAACGTCTCAACGCAGCTGGATTGCGTTTGAACCGCACCAAATGTTCATTTGCAAGGTCCTCTGTGACATTCTTAGGTCACATCATCGATGCATTTGGAATTAAGCCCACCAAGGAGAAAGTGCAAGATGTCATTGATGCAAGGGCTCCTACCGACGTCCAAGAGCTGAGAAGCTACCTTGGACTAATCAACTACTACCACAAGTTCATTCCTAACCTGAGCTCAGTACTTGCTCCGTTGTATGAACTATTGTCTTCCAAGAGTTGGGACTGGTCTCATCGTCAACAGTCCGCATTCGAGAGTAGCAAGAAGCTGCTCATTGACTCACCCGTCCGTGTGCATTACGACCCTAAACTACCAATTATTGTGAGCTGTGATGCCTCACCGTACGGCATTGGTGCAGTTTTGTCGCATGTTGTCAATGGCGAGGAGCATCCGGTAATCTTCGCATCGCGTACCCTGTCGTCAGCAGAACGAAACTACGCACAGATTGAGAAGGAAGGCCTCGCCATGGTTTTCGCTGTCAAGCGATTCCACAAGTACCTGTATGGCCAATCATTCACTCTTCAAACAGACCACAAACCTCTGCTGGGTTTGTTCAGCGAGTGTCGGCCCGTTCCTGCTATGGCCAGCGGTCGTATTCAGCGTTGGGCGCTGATGTTAGCCAACTATGACTATGAGCTACAGTACAAGCCCGGCAAATCGAATGGAAACGCTGATGGTCTCAGTCGTCTGCCGGCACCAACGCCAGAATTCCAGGTTCCCGTGCCGGCTGAAACAGTTTTGTCAATGACTGTTTTGGACGGAACTCCCGTGACATCATCGAGCGTTGCGCAATGGTCTCGCCGTGATCCAGTGCTTGCATTAGTTCTTAAGTACGTCCAGGAAGGCTGGCCTAACGACGTGCATAGTGATTACCAAGTGTACTACCGTCGTCGAAGTGAACTCTCCATCATCGATGGGTGCTTACTGTTGGGGTCTCGCGTTGTCATTCCGCCCCAAGGCCGAGAAAAGTTACTGGAAGAGTTACATTTCAGCCATCCCGGCATAACCAGAATGAAGTCGCTCGCCCGCAGCTACGTCTGGTGGCCATCGATCGATGCCGAAATTGAACTCAAGGTCCGCAGCTGTGAGCCATGTCAAGCAACCCAGAAGTCTCCAGCACTACAGCCATTGCATCCCTGGGAGTGGCCAGGCAAACCCTGGACCCGACTGCACATTGATTATGCAGGCCCTGTGGAAGGCAAGATGCTACTTGTGATCGTCGACAGCCACAGCAAGTACATCGACGTGCACGCCGTTCCATCTGCTACGTCGACAGCTACCATTGGCAAGCTTCGTGAGTGTTTCGCTACACATGGTCTTCCGCAACAGCTTGTCTCGGATAATGGCTCAGTGTTCACCAGCTCGGAGTTTCAACAATTCTGCTCAAGTAACGGTATCAAGCATACCTTGGTTTCACCCTACCACCCAGCAAGCAACGGTCTTGCTGAACGAGCAGTTCAAACAGTCAAATCCGGCTTGAAGAAATTGTCAGGTGCTGGTGGAGACCTAGCGTCACGGTTACACCGCTTTCTGTTTCATTATCGCTTAACGCCTCAGTCAACAACAGGCCAGTCACCATTTCAGCTGCTTATGAACCGCACGCCACGTTCTCGTCTTGACCTGACGTTTCCAGATACATCAGCACGTGTCTTGAACAGGCAAGGTGCTGCTGTTGACCGTCGCACAGCTCGGGCGTCGGATCTCTGTTGTGGTGATGCTGTTTGGGTGATTAACTTCACATCGACACCTAAATGGATGCCTGGTGTGCTGGAAGAATGTCTTGGTCCAGCCACGTTTACTGTACGTCTGGATGATGGTTGCATATGGAAGCGCCATGCTGATCACATTAGACGCCGTCTTCCGTCCGAGGGAGGAGAAATGCTACCCGAGAGTGCAGGCATATCCGACCGGTCATCACCACCATCAACTTCAACTTCAACTTTGGCAACTGCACAGCCGCCGTCACATGCAGATGCCGAATCACCACAGCCGTCACAGCCAGAGGTTGCCGCCAGCCGCCAGGATGTGGAATCAACATCGCTATCCTCTTCTGCATCTGCGACACCTTCTGCGGAATCTTCTACTCAGTCTTCTGCTATCTCTGTTAATTCTCCTAGCTCTAATCTGCGCAGGTCTACACGCTCAAGGAAGTCCCCTGATCGTATGAACTTGTAACTGCAGACCTGCTGGGTTTTGCGTTCAGCTCTCTGTTGATATTTGCAGTTCCTTAGTGTGTTACATTGAACTCGCTTCTCGTATCAGGAACAAATTATAGTGAACTCATTTCTCATACTATTGCTTATGTGTTCCTCATCTAATGGTGGAGGGATGTGATATCCGTACTAGTGAGCTACCTCACGTGATAGATCATTATCTTTCTACTCCTCTACTCTAAGTTGTATCAGCCGCGCATGCTTTTCCGTTGTGCTGCTGAGCTTCTCTGTCGTTCTAGTTCGGCGTTCTAGCTTTGATCTGAAGTCAACAGTTTCCCTTTTGTCTTGTCCTGAACTGCTCTGGTGTGATCATAATAGCTGCTGAGGCTGCTGAGGCTGCTGATGCTGCTGCTGCTGATGCTGCTGCTGAGGCTGCTGAGGCTGCTGATGCTGCTGCTGCTGATGCTGCTGCTGAGGCTGCTGAGGCTGCTGATGCTGCTGCTGATGCTGCTGCTGATGCTGCTGAGGCTGCTGATGCTGCTGCTGAGGCTGCTGATGCTGCTGCTGAGGCTGCTGAGGCTGCTGATGCTGCTGCTGCTGATGCTGCTGCTGAGGCTGCTGAGGCTGCTGCTGCTGCTGCTGCTGCTGCTGCTGAGGCTGCTGAGGCTGCTGATGCTGCTGCTGATGCTGCTGAGGCTGCTGAGGCTGCTGATGCTGCTGCTGCTGCTGCTGCTGCTGCTGCTGATGCTGCTGCTGAGGCTGCTGAGGCTGCTGAGGCTGCTGCACTATAATACAGTGTAGTGCCGGGCTCTCTTCAGGGAATATTCTGTGTTAGGTCACACGTGTCTGGCGGACTGCGGTGGCCATAGCCTCGGGGCTTTGTTGTGTGATCTGCACTTTCCGAGCCTGTTTTGATCTGCCTGTTGCGTGTTCTTCACTGCAGTGACTTCTCGTTCAGTGACTTGTGGGAGATTGACAATCTGCAAGGGTGCACTGAGCTCACCGACCTGTAAGTGGCATTATCAGAGTGTAGTGTTGACGGTGGCTGTAGCGGTGCTAGTCGTGGGTAGGGCTTAGACAGGGTGTGCGCACCAAAGTACTGCAACGAGCATTCAGTAGAGCAAGCCCAAACCCTCAAGAGTCTCCCTGTTTCCAACAACCACATGTTCCCGGGAAAGTTGGTAAATAAGTGAAGCTGCACATAGCTCAGTGGAGTGCCAATAAGCTAAGTCTACTGCAAATAGAACATTGTGATTCAAGATTTGAACTGGAGTGCTTCCCAATGCCGGAAACGACCCCACACTTCCGTCAAGTTGGGATTGGTGCTCCAGTCGCTGTGCACATTGGGTAGAGGGCGGGGAAAGTAGGATGGCCTTTCTAAGACCGTGAGTAAGATGCAGAGGGCACCAGGTTTAAGTCCTACTTGGAAGTGGACAGACCATTTCCCACTCAGCTGCGCCCCATGGTACATTCTGAACTGGCCACCTGGGACGAGGGTAACGCGGATGCGGCTAGCGGGTTTTTTCAGTTTTGCCAGGTGGGTCCGTTGCAATCACCTCCCATCTCTTTCGGAACTGCATCTACGTCGACGACTCGTACACCTTGACCATGCAGATTGGTGGCACTCATGTGGGTAGGCAAAGGCAGTCTGACTGACTTTCATGAGAACCGTAAAATAATTTATATCCATTGAGCGGCTTATTTATATTTAAAAAGTCGGCGTGGAGACAAGAAACCTAATATGGATGAAAGTAAAGTGAGCACACTCATACCACGAGAACAATGGAACAATATTTTAAGATTTGAACGTCGTTTTCATGTGATTATCATCAGAAATCATCATCACACTTCGTTACAGCACTCACACTCTTCACTTCTAACATACCAACACCCACATACCCACTTACATACATGTACCTTTCTCACCTGCACTTCTCCGATTTGCACATGCTATCACACTGCTCCGCTCGCTCCCCATGTAATAACACCTTCATTAGTACTAGACCGTGACATTTTTAGTACTAGCTTTAGAATATTAGTGTTTCTGGTTTTAGTTGTAAATCCAATATTGTTCACTTTATGATACCATATATATCCTTCCGTTGTAGTCCAACACTCAGCGTGGAGATGATTTCTGCTGATAATCACATGAAAACGACGTTCAAATCTTAAAAATATTGTTCCATTGTTCTCGTGGTGTGAGTGCGCTCACTTTACTTTTATCCATATTATCTATATTATTTGAACGGTTCACAAGCTCCACTGCAGTCACCTCATAGCATGGGAAACCCTTCACCATCACAAGCAAAAGTGGTCTCCTTGTTGCAAACCTGTTGCGATTTCAATCGAATTTTCGGCCAAGGTCCGGCTGATGTTGGCTTCTTGCAGCTCGCTTCTGCATCATAGTGTGTTCACCAATGGAGACTGGCGCTTATAACCCGGGCCTGCACAGTCCAGACACAGGAAACTGCACATGGACATTTACACCTGTGTAATGGTGTATTCGTATTTCTGTGATGTTCTGGGGTGTCCACGGTCAAATCCTTTTTCACTGCGTTATCCGGGTCTTTGCCTTTGGTGCAGCTTGTTGAATCATGCCAAGTTCACATCCAAGTCAATTGAAAACACCTTCTTCAACCACACGTCTGTCCGCCATATGTAAGTACCGACGCTGTACTGTAGTGGTCTGGCGCGTATACATTGTGTACTTGAAGTTTTGATGGCAGTACCAGCTTCAACGTTCTCCTTGTGAGCGGGAGTATTTCCTGTTCTATGCAAAAAAAAAACAAAAAAAAAATTTCGCGGTTCGCGTGAGACTCGGCCAAAGGCCCAGTTTCCCGCATCCGCAGGAACGCCACCACCCTCTTGGATCAAGGCGCAGATGCAGCTCCTAAGCGGCTGGCACGAGGGAAACATGGATGCAGTGAATGGGATTTCGGTTCTATGCAAGGAGGTGGTGAATATTGGGCTCGTGGAGGGTGACATCAACACTGATTAGCACAACTGTTTATTGTAACATGGAAATTGTGGGCACAAGTTATGCGATCGAGTCCACCAACTAAACCAGATTTTGAACAGTCAGACGTGCACAATCTAGCACAAAACTGACAAGGAGTACTGAGACATTCCACGGCATGGACGGCAGCTTGAGCTCTGCTCTATCTCGATAAATCTGGTTTAGTTGGTGGACTTGATCGCAGAATTTGTGCCCACAATTTCCATGTTACTTCCTCCGCCCAAGCAAAATTATCGCTTATCTTCACACTTTTTAGTTTTTACTCTGATACATCCCAGGTTCTCAGAATGGCTTATAGCGGCCCAAAATGGGTTGAGGAGTCATTGAATATCCCAAGTCAAAAATGTAGAATTCGTCCTTTGTTATCAGCCGACGAAGCGCTCATTGGCGGGTAGACTAGTACTTCGCACATTCCAGAAGCGCAAATATTTCGTATCGACACTTTTAAACGCGCTTGACCTACTTCAGGAGTACGATCGGTCGTGTTTTTTTACCAGCCTAAGCTGGTTAGTTGTGAGCAGCTATGCTACCAGTGTGCCAGTTGTTGCTATAATTATTGTCACCGCTTTTCTCCACGGACGCCTTTGAGCGAGCGAAATATGCAGCAGCAAACGTTTTCCATATTGCCAGGGTAGTTACTTCAGCTTCGCTTCACTGCTTTCACCAAGTCCTTCACATTTTCTGTGGCTATGAGCTCAGCATCGCTTTGCAGGATCGTTCACGTTGACATCAGGCGAATGAGCTGAGTGAGTGACAACCCTGTCAGATTGATATCGAAGCCTTTCTTTGCTCCATGTTTTGCCCAGTGCTTCTGGTTCATTTTTGCAGTGTGTGGGTGAGTGTCGCTGAGCAGGGGCGGATCCAGAGATCTCTACAGGGGGGTTCCGGTTGAACCAAAATTGAACAGCCAAAATATTATGGAATCAGATTGTTTTGTAATTAGTTGTGTGGTTGACACTTGTAACCATCATCGACCACACCACAACTGCGTTCTCCAGCCGGCCTCGACACGTTGCCACAGCACACCACCATCGCTGGAGAGCGCAGTTGTGGTGTGGTGGACGATGCCGGGAACACCTGTACAGGGCCAAATGCTGCTGCTTACCCTACATTGTATATTACGGACACATCATCATATAAATGTATGCAATCGACTGGCACATAGGTTCAGTGAGGGCTTGAAGACCCGTTCAACTTCTAGCAAAGATCAATTATCACTCCCCCCTCACGTAACCCCGATCGTCCTCATGTACTCTCACACAATAAGCACTCAACAGTTTGGGGATAGCGTGCTTCTTGTATTATGCCAAGCATGACCCGCTGAGTCCAGCTTGACTCAGCCGAGTCCTTACCTACTATTTACTGCTCTAACATGAAGCCGTGCCTCCGAGCAGGAAAAGAGAAGAAGCAAGAAAGAAAAAAAAAATAACCTGGCTTTCTGCAAGCTGCAACAGTAAGAAGTGCCAGTTGTGTAAGGCCACTCGACCGTGAGGCCTTCCGGATGGTGCTGCACCTCCAGCAGGCATCTTTCCCTGCTACTACGCCTACACATACCTGTATACGGTACACCTACCGAGCTGCCTGAGCCCCAGAAGGGTTCCCTGATGTAACCCGGGTTTCGGCCCAAGCGCCTGTGTCGCTTCCGTGATCCAAATGCGCATGCGACCTTGCAGGTCGCGCGCCAGGCTGCCGCGTACGCGACCAGCCTGGGGGTGACGATGTCGCCTTGAGCGCTTGTCGTAGCTGGGATCCCGTAGGCGGCACACAGGGGTGCCAAATATGTCGCTGGCCCAGGGCCAGCAGGGCGCCCAGCTCAGGTCGCACGCGGCATGCGGCCCGAGCTGAGCGCGGTGACGGTTGGTGATAACTACAGTTTCCTCCTCCGGAAACTTCCATTTATCACTCCCCCCTCACGTAACCCCGATCGTCCTCATGTACTCTCACACAATAAGCACTCAACAGTTTGGGGATAGCGTGCTTCTTGTATTATGCCAAGCATGACCCGCTGAGTCCAGCTTGACTCAGCCGAGTCCTTACCTACTATTTACTGCTCTAACATGAAGCCGTGCCTCCCAAAAATACTGGGGGTAGCCTCACCGCACGCGATCCCCTACTCCTAGTTCTGTCGGCCGCTGTGGGCCTGGGATGGCATACCTGATTGGGTATGCACATATCTCTTGTAGGCTGAGCTTGACCACCTTCCGGCGGCCTGCAGCTGCCGTTCTGGCGCCCTCCTGGCCGCCAGCTCCGTAGCGCCACCCTTCCGTAGCGAGTGGCTCCTGACGCGCCCGGGTAGAGCCTTCTCCAGCCAGGCGTTCACGTCTCGGCTGGTCAGCTGGTCCCCGTTGTCGAACATGAAGAATGCGCTCTCTCCGACCGGCCAGTTGCGGCCGGCGACGTATCGCTTGATGGCCTCTACTGGGCAAACTTCTGGGTCTGTCCTGCGGTGGAGGACAACTGTGCCCGCACCGCCGAACTGGGTTGTCTTGGTTACCCCGAGGGTAATTTGGATCTCGTTTTCCAGGACGGACACGCAGCTCCTACTCAGGGACCTGGTACCTTGCCTGGGCGACGAGTGCCGTGACGTGTACTCACTCACTCGAAGGAGACCATTGTAGGCCGTCACGACGGTAGCCCACATCATCGCCTTGTCAGACGCGGAGTGTGGCGTACTGGCGATCCACGTCTTCAGGGTTAGCAGATCGCGCGCCTCTACTGGGCGTAGCCCTGACGACGAGGAGGCCGAGGATTCGGGCTTCCTCCCGAACTGGGACCGTTCTACTCCCTTCAGCAGTGCTGACAGGCGGGGGGACTTGAGGGGGTCTACAGAGGCACCGTTCGTCAGCAGATAGTAGCGGACCCCCGCGAGGTACACCTTAACCGTCCCGACGGACAGTGTGTGGGCCGACAGTGCCGCAAAGCGAACCAAATCCTCCTGTGTCGGCCTGAGGGGATCTGCCAACGCCCTTGCCATGAAGGACTGGTAGGCCTTAATCCCTGGCTGGTAGGTCCTGCTGGTGCTGGGTGCAACCGACTGCGCCACCAGCTTGTCGGCTTCCGCCGACAGTGTTCGCCCGAGGGGAGTACCTGGGCGCAGACAGCCAAGCAGACAACAGAGCCGAAGGGTTGTTGTGTTATACGTAAGGCTATTACTGTCTCAGTTATTCTTCTGTTTTGCCTTTTAAAGTCGGAGACGACCTCCCGCCTGCAGGGCATCCCAAAAAATACGGGAGTGGGGCACGTTTGCTCAGCTGCGAACGCGCCGAGGTCAGAGGGGAGCTGCCCCTTTTTGCAAATGTTTCTGTACTGTTGTGCGCATGCGAAGCCCCTAGGGGGGGGGGGGGGGGGGGGGGCTGCCCTCCGTTCGCCCGCATAGCTGCCGGGACTACCGCCGCCCAGGCGAGGGGCAATGCCCCCGCCTATGCCGATACCGGCACACTCAACAAGCTGAAAGGGGAGCCGCCCCTGCATTTGCTAGCGTAGCCGCCCTTCCGGACCGCCGGGTCGCCATTTCAAACCGCGGGGTCAACCGCCGTATTCGACCGCCGGGTCCGCCGCGCCGCATGTATTGAGCCGCCGGGCAAGCGCCGTATTAGACCGCCGAGTCAGCTGCTATATTAGACCGCCGGGTCAGCGCCTTCTTAGCCCGCCGGGTTAAGCGCCATAACGGACCGCCGGGTCAGCCGCCATGTTAGACCGCCGGGTCAGCCGCCATATTAAAACCGCTGGGTCAGCCGCTGCGTGGGCGAGGGGTGCTGCCCCTGCCTCTGCCAATGCCGCCGTGCGCCAAACCGGAGGGGGGCACCCTGCGTTTTAGTATTATTATTACTATTGCACAACCGGGTTTGCATGTATAGCTGCCATCGCCTGAGCGAGCGCAACGGGGAATTGCCCCTGCCGTGGTTAATTGAAAACAGACAAAACAGAATGACCGTGGGCAATGCATTAAACGCAGTAGGATTCAGCCTTAAATACCGCTTAGTACAACCCGATAACACCGCTTAGTACAACCCGATAACACCGATAACACCGATAACACCGCTTAGTACAACCCGATAACACCGCTTAGTACAACCCGATAACACCGCTTAGTACAACCCGATAACACCGATAACACCGATAACACCGCTTAGTACAACCCGATAACACCGCTTAGTACAACCCGATAACACCGCTTAGTACAACCCGATAACACCGCTTAGTACAACCCGATAACACCGCTTAGTACAACCCGATAACACCGCTTAGTACAACCCGATAACACCGCTTAGTACAACCCGATAACACCGCTTAGTACAACCCGATAACACCGCTTAGTACAACCCGATAACACCGCTTAGTACAACCCGATAACACCGCTTAGTACAACCCGATAACACCGCTTAGTACAACCCGATAACACCGATAACACCGCATGACCGCGCGCACAGTAGCCTGAGTGAAGCTAATGAATTTTTTTTTTTTTTTTTTTTTTTTTTTTTATAAACGAGGACAAAGTCGCTTGCCCGCCAAAGCCTGCACTGTCCGCCGCCCTGCGGTACGCGGTGGTGTCTGAACGACCGAGACAACCGCCGCAATACCGGCGGCAACGCCAACAAGAAAAAACAAAACAAAAAATTCAAGTACAACAAGACACAAGCAAAAGAGCAGATTTTGCAAGCGCCCCATGACAACAGGGGAAAAAAAGCGCTGGGTTCAACTACCGCCGAAGCCGCGCGGCCAAAAAGGAACTCACATGCCCATACTGGGTGCAAAACGTAGCGAGAGGAATGAGCTATTATTGAAGGTGGAGAGTCGGGGTTGGTTTGTGAGGAGGTAGGAGAGAGAGAGAGAGAGAGAGAGAGAGAGAGAGAGAGAGAGAGAGAGAGAGAGAGAGTGTATGTGTGTGTGTGGGGGTGTGTGTGTGGGTGTGTGCGCGTGTGTATGTGTGTGTGCCTGCCGGCCAGTGCGCCTGAGCTATAGGGGAGCCAAAACAATCGTTGAAAGCCAAGCGGTGAAGAGAGCAAGCGAGGGAGTGGGAGGCAGGCATTGATTATGGGGAAGTACAGCCAGAGCACTGCCGTGGTCAATTGTTCCCGCCTGGCACGCGGTTCGGGACCGGGCAGGGTCCGGTGTTTGCGTGGGGCGCCAACGAGCGGAAACGCGCTCCTTGGCCGCGTGACAGCGCATCTGCGATAGAGTTGTCCGTGCCCGCGATGTGGGTGATCAGCAAGATGAAGTTCTGTTCTGCTGCCATGCGGAGACTGAAGCGAATTAATTCCATCACCGCTGGATTGCGGCAGGTTCCGGATTTCCAGACTACCCCGACCGCCTTGTTGTCGCAGTGTAGTAGGATTTTCTTCCCGGACCACTTGGGGCCCCAGAGCGCGCAAGCCGTCGCTACGGGGAACATTTCCCTCCAGATGATGGATGTACGTGGTGGCTTGGTTTGGGCTTCGGCCCACGTGCCAGTGAACCACTCGCCTTTGAAGTAGCCGCCGTGACCATGGCCTGAAGCGTCTGTGAAAAGCTCCAGGTCCGGGGACTGAGACCAACGGTAATCACGAATCAGCGCCCGCCCGTTCCAGGAAGGTAGCATATCCCGCCACCACTGAATGTCGGCCTGGGCGTCCTCTGACAGTTGCACAGACTCATCGGGGTGTGCGTCCCCTGCAGACAGGTCAATGAGTCGTCGGACGAAAGTGCGCCCTGCTGCGACCACTTTCGCGGCGAAGCTAAGGAGTCCGATCAGGGATAGAAGTTCCCGCTTCCTGCAACTGGCTCTGAGCTGCCAACGGTCAAGCCGCTCCTGTAAGTCCCGGAGTTTCTCGGCCGGGAGACGGATTTCCATGGCCACGGTATCGATTTCTAGCCCGAGGACTGATAGCGACGTGGCTGGGCCTGCCACCTTGTCGGGGCCTTCGGCGACCGGGACGCCGAGATTGTCGAGTACTTGCAGAATGGTGGCCTTGTGCACTGCTGCGGTCGATCTTGGGATGTCGTTGGCTGGGAGGGATACGTTGATGTAATCGTCCAAGTAATGCTCAAGATATGGTATCGAATACTGGACGCGCAGGATCCAAGCGAGCAGATCGGCAAACCTGTTAAACAGAAAAGGCGACGAGCGCAGGCCAAACGGTAGCACGGTGTCAAAGTAGAACTTTCCGCCCCAGCACATGCCCAGGAGGGGCCAATCATCCGGGTGGACTGGGATCAGACGGAAGGCATGCCGGAGGTCGACCTTTGTTAGTAACGCTCCCGGCCCGACGCGTTTGACATGATCGCAGATGTTGTCAACTGATATCATCTTGAAGGTGCGGTCCTCTTGGTTGATGAAGTCGTTGATACTGTTGTTGGCTGGCGCGGACAGGTGGAGGATCAGCCGATGACCTCCGGACTTCTTGGGCACGACTCCTATGCCTGAGGTACGGAAGGGCAGAAATGGTGGTTGGTCAAAAGGACCACAAGTGTGTAGTAAGGTGCATTCCTTGGCCAGGTATTCGCTCACTACTGAGGGGAACCTGTGAGCTGACGACAGATTACTGGCGATGGCTGAGTGCTCCCGGTTGCCCGTGAACCCGAGCCGGCATCCATGCCGCAGGTCGGACAGGACGGATTGTACCAGGTGGCTGTCAGGGTGAGATTGGAGCTCTGTCTCCAGTTCGTGTATGTTGATGGGTGTGTGTGGTGTCTGGGGAATGCATGAGTGAACGACGGCAGGCTGGCGGGCATGTGGCGGGTTAGGCCGATTGGCGGGCTGGGCAGCTGGCTGCTGCGTGGGAGCCTCCGCAGAATGAGCATACATGTTTGTATTTGCATTCAGTGAAGGAGCAGGACCCAGTGTTGAACCGCCTGCAGACGGGTTGGTCCTGACCGCCTTTCGCTGGTTGGGAGCCACGAAAACTAGCTGTGTCTCTGCGCCCTGCAAAACAGGAGGATGTCACGTGGCCGGTCTTATGGCACTTGTTGCAGACCGGGAGTGCGTGGCCGGTGAAGCATTGGGTAAACAATTCTGTGTCCATGACGCCAATGGACCGTGAGGAGTCCTTGGCAATTGCCTGTCTGACCCGGGTGTCAAACTCCAGGACTGCCGCCAGACGATACTTTTGGGCAGCCTGGACCACCCTCAGCTGATGCTGCATGAGCCCATTTGCAGTATCCGGCATGTTGCATGTCACAATAGTACTGAAAATTGACCAAGCCTCGACCCAGTCGATCAGCGATTCTATCTTGCGCTTGCTGGAAGTAGCACTTGCCAGGACAATCTCGTTGCCCTCCGTTTGGTTAATTTTGAAGCGTTTGGCTTCAGGCTCCGTGTGGGCGGACCGGGAAGGAAGCAGTGTGGCCAGCTCCACAAATTCTACCCTCAGTATTTTTCTTATCGTTTCCCCTGACACGTGCGCCACCCCAGCGGGTAGTTTGGCGCCTACCAACAACTCGGCATGCACATCATGATAGTCCGTACCTGCGTGGTTCGCTGAAGGCCGATTCTCCGCGCCCGAGCGCGCATTGCTTAGAGCAGACGCTACTGCCGCTGCTGTGGCCTCTGAGATGGCCTCGACTTGCTGTCTAGAAAGATCCATGCTGTCGGCTAACGTAGTAGGTCTACTTACAGGTTAGGACAAGCTAGAGAGGAAAAAAAATAACCTGGCTTTCTGCAAGCTGCAACAGTAAGAAGTGCCAGTTGTGTAAGGCCACTCGACCGTGAGGCCTTCCGGATGGTGCTGCACCTCCAGCAGGCATCTTTCCCTGCTACTACGCCTACACATACCTGTATACGGTACACCTACCGAGCTGCCTGAGCCCCAGAAGGGTTCCCTGATGTAACCCGGGTTTCGGCCCAAGCGCCTGTGTCGCTTCCGTGATCCAAATGCGCATGCGACCTTGCAGGTCGCGCGCCAGGCTGCCGCGTACGCGACCAGCCTGGGGGTGACGATGTCGCCTTGAGCGCTTGTCGTAGCTGGGATCCCGTAGGCGGCACACAGGGGTGCCAAATATGTCGCTGGCCCAGGGCCAGCAGGGCGCCCAGCTCAGGTCGCACGCGGCATGCGGCCCGAGCTGAGCGCGGTGACGGTTGGTGATAACTACAGTTTCCTCCTCCGGAAACTTCCATTAATATGCAGCCATGGTACGTTGAGAGCCAGGAATGCCGAAATGACAACTAAGTTTAATACTTTCCCTGTCCATTTGTACTTTCGGAAATTTTTGGCATTTTTACGATGCGAAATGCTATAGTCACTAGACAAGAGCATCGTCTTCACTTCAGTGACAGAAACAACAACAGCGAAAAAGTGTCGACAATTGTACAATCCTTCCAATGTCATCTAAAACACATCGCTGGCGCAGCACTCCGTTCCTGCGGAGGAACAACTAGTCGCTACTGCATGCTGCAGCAGGTAGAGATTACTGACTTTGCTTGGATGTCGGAGCCCTCATCTTCTGAGGAGCTTGAACTCTACGTGTACGATTCGAAGTTCGTTGAAGAGTGTCATCACTCGGAACATCCTTTCTCTTCTGCAAAAAAACTTGTCCAAGGAATACTGACCACACCACACCCATCCTGAGCAGCAGTGAATGACAGCGCCAATGGAGGTAAGTAGTTTGGATCGTTTCGAAAGATCAAAAAGGAAACAACCACCCAATGTTGTCTACAGACTCAGTACAGTGTCCGTTTGTAAATCACGGACGTGAACACCAGTATACTACTACTAGTATACGTACAGTATCGATCTACCGCATGCAGTGCACTGCGCAGACTGTGATCGGTTGGACGTCCTTTTGTGCGCATATGTTTATTTTCGATTTTCGCAGCATGCAGCACACTTTGCAAAATAATAATTTAGGGGGTTCCATGGAACCCCCGGAACCCCCCCCCCTGGATCCGCCACTGCTGAGTGGCTTTCTCAGCTTCAAGTTCACGTGTGTTTTTACCATACACACATCTTGTGCCGGATGCAATCACACACGCTGGCTTTTCGCAACAGTACACCTGTGTACTCCAGGGGTACTCAGCAGCACCCACCGTGACCAGTCACTGACTTTGTGTTCTTTGACCAGTTCACTTGCTTTCAGCGCGCTCTACTCGAGGTGTTTCTTCTTTGCCGACTTCACCAACTTGTTTGGAACTGGTACGCCTGAAGGGATTGAATACCAGCAGATTTCTGTGGATGGTGCAGTGGACAATATATAAAAATAGCTGCCAGACACTTGTCAGTGGGCTGAAAGAGATAAGCGAAAATTTTGCCTGGGCGGAGGAAGTACATTTTTTTCCTTGGCTCACCATCTGAGTTCGTTATAATAAGAAATATATAAATGCTTCTATTCTCACTGATGACGCTGGTCTATTGTGTTTTCTTTGCCACTGTGCAGAGATCTGACAAACAATAGGATTGATCGGATAAGCAACAAAGTATTCGGATACATGCCTAACCTCGAAACGCTGTAAGGAATAGTCAAAGTCCCCTCTCTCTTTCTCTCTCTCTCTCTCTCTCACTCTACTCTCTCTCTCTCTCTCTCTCTCTCTCTCTCTCACTCTTACTCTACTCTCTCTCTCTCTCTCTCTCTCTCTCTCTATCTCTCTCTCTCTCTCTCTCTCTCTCTCTCTCTCTCTCTCTCTCTATCTCTCTCTCTCTCTCTCTCTCTCTCTCTCTCTCTCTCGCCTAAAACATCTTACACCAGTTGTATTTCCCTGCTGCAAGCATATGCCACTCGCCAGGGAGTTGTAGCATATACGGAGACAGCACGAGCAACTGGAACGTGAAGCATTGTAGAATTCGCTCCATCTGGCTACCATGCACATTTCCTAATAAATCCCCCCCCCCCCCCCCCCCTATCGGCAGGTCTCTGTTATGGATCATTTCAATGAGTGTAAGTTGGTCTCCATCTGAGTTTAGCCTTGAAGCTCGGTACCTATATAGAACAGGACATGCTCAGTCAGTGTATTCAGGGGGGGGGGGGGGGGTGTACAACAATAAACCCTAACGCAAGGGTTACACCTGCTCCCAAAGCCTTGCGTTGATGATGACCACTGCCCATACAGCTCCCGGTGGCACATTTCACACAAATGCCGGTGCATGTCACAAGTTGCATTACTTTCTAACCTTCACCTCAGTGCGTTTTTAATGCTAGCGTGTGATCATGATATTCTATCGGATGAGACTACCCTCAGCACAAGGAAGTGGAAATGCAGCTCGAGCAAAGCAGCTTTGTGAACTTGTTCTTCTCCATGTTCAGTGCCTGCCATACACTGTATTGGAATTACTCCGCTGAGTAGTACTAGTAATAGTATACCGCGGCCAAAGGTTCCTCAGTGCTGAGTGCATAGGTAAACTGTTAGTGTCGTGCATAGGTAAACTGTTGATTTGGTGTTGGTTCCATTCCTCTTTCCCCAGGAAACTTGACAACAATGCCCAGCTGGCGTTTATTGACCCGGACGCATTCAGCGGCCTGACAGGTCTTAGATTCCTGTAAGTGAATATCGCACACACACACACACGCACACGCACGCACGCACGCATGCACACACACACACACACATGCACGCACGCACGCACGCACATACACACACAGTGACACATACACACATGCACGCACACACACACACAGACACACACACACACCGGTATGCAGAAAGCTTGTGTAGCCCCAATACCATGATGCTGAGCTCGTGGGACCGGATACGTCACATGTAGCGAATCCGAATTCTGCGATCCAATCTGACTTTTCAGGCTGGACAATCCAGTGGTGCAGGCCGAATCGTTTGTTACCGGCAGGTGGTCCCTTACCCCTGCTTGGGCCGTGCGGCCCTACACGTGAGCGTGCTATCATACTGCTGTGTCTAACGTTACTCAGCCTCACTGCATCGAGAGTATGGCCATGCACGTCAGCTTACAATGTTCTGTTTTGTGCGGTAGCTGACACTGATACTGCTCGCACAAAGGTGGTGCGTGGCACTTTTCAAACGTTTGCAATAGGCCTCTGTTCCACCTTGAGGTGCTGCACACGTATGCATACCATGTAGGTCTAGCCGCACTGCAGCAGTCATGCCACACTGTGCTGTTGTCACCCACTCTGCATTGTCTGGATACGAGGGAACGCCAAGCTGATCGGCTGGCAGTCTCGCAAGGAAGTCTGTGGCAGGATGATGATATTTGTGAACACGCTTCATTAGCTGGAGTGTGGCATGGGACAGGGTCAGCAGCTAGATCAGTCGTTTGCTAACAATGGATTCGGAATGTTCAGAAACTGTTTCCCACTCACCTGAGTTCTATTTTGGCATAGTGGTGTGAATCGGCTTCTCAGTAGAAATTTTCTTCTGTGGTGTGTTTTCCCGTTGTGTGTCGATACATGTGGGCGTGCTGCTGCAGTTCTATGACCTATACTCCAAGAGTAACAAGTCTTCCGCTGGGTTCGTTTAATATGAACTTGCGTGAGTTATACATCCAGGGTAACAGTGGAATCCGCCACTTCCCACAGGTAAGTGCAACTGTCAACAGTGTTCGTAAACACTTTTTGAAAAGCACTAATTCGTAAAACACGAAAAGGCTTTGTTGAGAATGGCATTGCCATGATGTCTGCAGAGTCTTAGCTGTCATATAAAATGGCCATTTTCACGCATTTTCGACATGATCGCATATGTGCATCATTTACACAGAACAGAGGCACAACATGTATATACAAGTACTTGAAGTAAGCATGCAACTGCATGCAATACCCTTCCGCATTCAGCAATTTTTTTGATCATACCTTCATGTATGATGACCCGCCTACACCAGGTTGAATTTTGCGAATTTTCGAAAACGGATCAATTTTGGCAAAATCACTGATACGGTATGGATTCTGAGTTGCATTTTACTTTCAAAATGGAATGCAAACACAGATTGGTCAAGTGTAATGCAGGCACAAGCTAAACACAGATATATACATCAATAGCTACTGTTCAGCCAGGAAAACTGGCATCGTCGCAAAACGGAAAAAGAGACAAAAACTGAGAAATGAGAGAGGAGATGAGAAATAGAGAGAATGCCCATATCACAGCCTTATGTCATCAGCCTTAGCACTGTGATAGTCCGTGAAACAGTTCCGAGTGTCATTTAGGCACAGGTTGACTGGCTTCTTCGTTGGTCCTTTGCAATGCGAACATGTGAACGCAGTTTTCACATGTTTCTTCCCGCACCTCTTTGCATAGTACCGGCAGTTACTGTGTTTGCCCACGACAGGCAGGTGGGAGTACCGCTGTAGCACTTTGGCCTCCTTGCCCTTCTTGGGGGCCATTGGAGGCTGTGCATCCAATGCAATGCCCGTCAGCTGTCGTGCTGTCACCAGTCGGAAGTCAGTGGCGTTGAAGTGCACCTGACGTGCAATTGCATCAGGGTTCTCCTTCCTTAACTCTGCAAATAGTGTGTGCGCTTGTGTGGCACACAGATTGACCATGTGGGAAAGCATCGACTTCCAGTAGCGGCGGCTTCGTCTATGCACATCATTCGTGGCAAGGAATTGATCACCGACATCAACTCCTCCCATATACGCGTTGCAGTCGGCCATCGCCAAAGGTCGTCGAACTTCGATCTGGACGTGGTGTCCAGTGTGATCACGGCTGTTCCGCACACACATGTCACTGTCAGTTGCTTCTACCATATCCATGATATCTCGCTTACTTCAAATGCAAGCAGACCGACTTGCCGCGTGTTCTGATTTGCCCATGCTCAAAGGCTTCGAAAATGGCTAAATCGCCATGTCAACGTCTCAGGAGAGAGTACACGGGACCCACACGTAGTAGTGGGTCGAATTTGACCCCAAAACGTATGTATGACGATTAGAGGGTTAAAATGGGAAAGTGCATCGATTTTGTAAGTAGGGTCCAGAAGAAAGACAATTTGATATCGGTTCGAATGGCATATCTCTTGCTTCCGCACGATAAGCCAAACTTGCTCAATTGCCAATTGTATGATCACGTTGTCATAGCGACCAGCGCAGTGGTGACACACATTCTGCTTAGCTCCGTGAGAGAGAAGGTCGATCACTGTAGAATTTGGTCATTTTCAATTGTTTTATTGCACTCACGATGTGAAAGAAGGGCTGTGCTCAATGCTGTTAGTGCCGCAAACTGTTTATTGGTCTTCTCCTGCATTTCCCGAGGTTGGGTGGGTGGTTGTCCCATATGGTGCAGTGGTATGTGCAGCGATTTCCAATCGAGAGGTTGCGGGTTCAATTCCCGATGATTATGGTCACACCACGTCTTTCTTCTCTTTCTCAGACTCCTGACTTTTCTTATATTCTCCTGGGTGGTTACCAACAACCAGTGCATGTCGGAATATATGGTGTGATGTGTGTACAGGAAAAGAAAATTGATGAAAAAGACCAAAAAGTAGGGATTCAAAAAAAGAAAAAAGCCACTTCATAGCTATGTGGTGTAGACCAGGCTGAATAGTGGCGGTCAATTCTTCAGCCTTGCAAGTTGTTGAATGGTGCAATCCCAGCACAAGTTGCTATGGCTTCCGCTGTAGCATCGCTATCATCGCCTCCGGCGATAGCCGTCAAAAGGTCAAAGGTGTGTGTGTGTGTGTATGTGTGCGTCCGTGCGTGCGTGAGCGGGCGTGCGTGCGCGCGCGTGCATGTGTGCGTGCGTGTGTGCGTGCGTACGCGCGCATCTTTTCATTGTTTGGAAACTGGTACTGACTTGTTGTGTCGGTCTTGTGCTTCTTTTGTCCTCATGGTGTTGTCGCTGCCAGCTGACTGAGCTGAGTAGGTTGTTGATTGCCAAGCTGTACTATCCATACCACTGCTGTCAGTACCAAGCGGCGGCAGAGAAGGTGAGATAACGCAGTACAGCCACATCGGCAGTGATCTGCCATGACTGTCCTAGGAGATGGGCATTTGCAATGCACAAATGGGCTTCTCTTGTCTAGCAGTACTGGCATGTGACTATTAAGTAGAGCAGGTACGGGTGAGACACAAACGGACTAGATATGCCCTCGCCTGTAACAACCCCGGGTGGACAAGGCAAGCAAACTTCTGTTTAAGTAGACCAAGCCCCCGCATGCCTACACAAGACACCTAACAGCACTCATGTTATGCAGTAGAGGATGCATGAAGAGGGTTGATTCAGTTATCCAACGTGTTCATCTTTCACTGTGTTCTTGTGTTCTGGCGCAGGAAAGGGATAGAAAAGCGGCTATAGCAGCTGCGGCTACAACGAGTCTAGTGTCTCCAACACCAGTGTCCACGCCGTATTTCGAGCAGCCCACCGCAGTCAACGTGAGCGGCTTCCATGATGGCCGAACTGGCCTCGTCGATAGGCATAACGAAGATGAAGAGCGTCGCTACAATGAAGTATGCCATGCATTGGGCCTACATGTAGTGGTAGATGTCGAGGATACGTCTGACTATTACAAAAAAAGTGTTGTACATGTGGCTGCGCTTGTGTCTCTTCGTTGTACATGCGGTTGCACGTGTAGCTCTTTGTCGTACATGCTGCTGCTTTAGTGTGTCTTCGTTGTACATGCTGCTGAACCGTGGTACACGCTGCTGCGCTGTTTTGACTCCTGCGTACATGCGGCTGCACCGTCTTCTGTCCCCGTTGTACGCCTTCACTATAATATATTCTGTTGTCTCGTCTTGTCTCAGTGTCAGTCGTCAGTCGTTCGTTGTCAGTGTTAGTTGTCTGATATGAGTTCTCCAGTCACCGCTTGAAGTAAGCCTAAGAAAAAGCTCTCTCTCAATCTGTAATAGTCCTTTGTTGTATGGCGTGGCGAGGAGCAAAGAGAAGTAGTTCGTCCTTTGGGCTAGACGACAAAAGTTTAATCCAATCCAATCCATTGTCGGTCATTATGCGGTTGGTAGAGTTAGACAGTGATAATTTACAACAAAGGTATTATGAAACAGTGTGTGTGTGTGTGTGTGTGTATGTATGGGTGTGTGTGTGTGTATGTGTGTGTTTGCGTGCAGACATGGTTAAAGGGTAATGTCGAGCGGATACCCATGTACTCGCCTGCCGCGGCGGGCGATCCGAAGAAGGATCTGCTGTGCAGCCCGGAAGTCACCCCGTTTACTCCGTGCAGGGACATGTTCGCCGAGTTGTGGCTGCGCATCATCGCCTGGTGCGTGTCTCTGCTGGCCCTGGGCGGGAACATCACAGTGATCATTGTCATCATCTTTGGCAAGCACAAGATGGACAACACGCACTATCTTGTGCTGAACCTGGCCATGGCTGACCTGTGCATGGGCGTCTACCTGCTCATACTGTGCGTAGTGGACGCCAGCACGCGCGGTGATTTCAGCGCCACCGCCCTGGACTGGATGGCGTCGCCGCAGGCCAAGGTGGCCGGAGTGCTGGCCGTCCTCAGCACCGAGATGAGCTTCTACACACTGACGCTGATCACCATCGAGCGCTACATCACCATCCAGCTGGCCATGAACAAGTACAAGGTCACGCGAAAACGCCTGTACCTGCTCGTCGGCATCGGATGGGTGTTTGCGCTCACCCTGGCATTGTTGCCCGTCGCAGGGATATCGTCCTACACTAACAACATTCTTGCACTGCCGTTTGACATCAGCACCGTAGTGGACAAGACCTACGTTGCGTTTGTGCTGATCTTCAACGGCCTCTGCATCGTGCTGATCAGCGTTTGCTACACTGGGATCTATTTGAAGGTGCGCTTCTCGTCTGTTTTCAGCGAGAAAGACAACACGGTGAGAGCGAAGAGTCGTGAATGTTGTCTGAATTGTCATACAGTGTTCGTACATTGAGCTACAAAGGAGGGCGGGGTGGCGAGTGCACGGCATCTCTTGGGTGGGCAGATTGGTTTTCTTGTGCCGCCTTTCGCACGGAATGTGTGTGTGTGGGGGGGGGGGGCTTCGGTGCTCATTGGCTTGGGCGAGTCTGTCAGGGTGTTGGATGTTCAACATTGTTTGTGCGTGTGCGCGTGTGCGTGTGTATGTGTGTGTGTATATTCGTATGTGTGTGTGTATATTCGTATGTGTGTATGTGTGTGTATGTGTGTATGCGTGTATGCGTGTGTGTGTGTGTGTGTGTGTATGTGTGTGTGTATTCGTGTGTGTGTGTGTGTGTGTGTCTGTGTGTATATTTCTTTCTATCCAGATTGCACGTCGCATGGCGCTGCTGGTGCTAGTGGATCTAGCATGCTGGTTACCTCTGGCTGTGCTCGGTCTGGCAGCCACATTCACTGGTGAAGTGCTGGTGGGCTACGAGGCAGCTAAGGTAACCTATCACCACATACCCTAATGTTGCGTATAGACGCCGGGCGTATTCCTGTAGAAACCGATCAACGTACTGGGCTCAGGCTTTTACAGGTGAAATCCTGATAATTTGAACCCGAAAATGCCAAGGCAATTTTCTAATTTTCCGGACATTCTAATTATCTAACCATAATACCCACAACACATTATGTACGTCAAAATGCTCGCATTGACCTGCAGAGTGCACTATGCACCTTAGACGGAGATTTAGTGGACATTGAACTGCCTGCACGTGCAAACCACATTGACTTGTTGAGAATAAGTGTACTTCGAATTATGCTTTGCTAACTTCAAACTATCAGCACAAATCCCACACATTTTCTATGTAAGTGGATACCGTGGGACTTCTAATTATCCGGACATACCAAGTTCGAGATTCGAATTATCAGAAATTGTTATGTGGGAATCGTATTGATGGAAATCGGTCCTGGAAGAAACTTCTAATTAAGCGGCAGTACGTTCTAATAAAGCCACATTTGAATTATTAGGATTCCTCCTGTATCAGAACAACGTGTCGGTATTTCTACATTATATCAACACTGAAACCAGCTTGGCTAAAACAATAACTCACATCATTAATATTGTGCCATGCAAAACCTCCAATCTGTCCTCCTCCCGCGCAGATCTTTGCAGTGTTCGTGTTCCCACTGAACTCCTGTGCCAACCCGTTCCTGTACGCTATCGTCACTAACCACTTCCAACGTGATCTGATCCACATTCTCAAGACGTTCCCGGAGAAGGTCGGTGATTTGTCACGTCGACGCAGCTCGGTGGTCAAGGGCACTCCGCAGCCATCTGACTCTAAGTATGCCGTTCATTTGTGTGTTGTGTGTGTGTGTGTGTGTGTGTGTGTGTGTGTGTGTGTGTGTGTGTGTGTGTGTGTGTGTGTGTGTGTGTGTGTGTGTGTGTGTGTGTGTGTGTGTGTGTGTGTGTGTGTGTGTGTGTGTGTGTGTGTGTGTGTGTGTGTGTGTGTGTGTGTGTGTGTGTGTGTGTGTGTGTGTGTGTGTGTGTGTGTGTGTGTGTGTGTGTGTGTGTGTGTGTGTGTGTGTGTGTGTGTGTGTGTGTGTGTGTGTGTGTGTGTGTGTGTGTGTGTGTGTGTGTGTGTGTGTGTGTGTGTGTGTGTGTGTGTGTGTGTGTGTGTGTGTGTGTGTGTGTGTGTGTGTGTGTGTGTGTGTGTGTGTACATGTACGTGCGTACGCTTTTATGCATGGTGCCAATCTCTTCACTGAGCGTATTACGAAGTATGCCATCCTAACTGTTATGCCAAAAAGCCTGAAAGAATCTAATTCATGTGACCCAGTCTGAGACAAGCAATATGATGTACAATTTGTTCCGTGAATCCTGCGGGAATTGTAGAAAAGAACAGTTCCTCGGAGACAAGAACGCAATAATACTCAGAAAAGGACACAATTCAGGAACATCTTGAAAGTTTTCAGTTGATTGTAGAATGAAGTAAATAAGTCTCATAGTGTGTGTGTTGCTGTTAGGCTATGTAGTAATAAGCTGCTCCACACGTGCTGAAACTGTCAGTTCAACTGTTGTCTGTATGGCAGGAGCTTGCTTCAACACATCGCCCAGTACGTGGCACAGGAAGCTCGTAGAAATCTGAACGGCCAGGAGGGAAGTGGAGCATCGTACAACAACAACAACAACAGCTCCACAATGCGTAAGTGTACATTGCAGGCAAGATGATGGCTCCTATTCTGTTCAAAGGCCGGCCACATCCAAGCGCAGTGTTCAACTCATGCCATGTTGTTAGAACATGCTGTGCTTTGCGGGGACGGATGGGGGGAGACATACAATTGAGTTTGGTGAACTTATCCACAGGGCAAGTCTAGTTATCATTGCGTGCTATCCCATGTTCCGATATGCAAAATCATAAAAGTATCATCACTGGTATGTTGGTGTAGAGATGGCTGTGAAAAAGTTCAATCATTGTTCAGGAATTTCACTCACACTTCAATATCCAAGCTTGTGCTGCATGCATGCAACAGATGTCACCTGGCTATGCTGTAGGTGGTGTAATATTGCCTTGCTGAAACCTGAACTGTGTACGCAGAAGGAGTATGTGCGAAAACTGTCACAATTTTGTTTTTGTAGTACCGTAGTCTCCGCTGGTGTATGAAAGTCATCCAGTGTATTGATGGTTTTGCCATGTAGTTGGCGCCACTTACACTCCCTTAGGTGCCATTTTTGTCACTGCTTTGACTGCGGCCTAGAAAGCTAGATATAAGGACTTGTTTTCCGGCTGCTCGCATCACTTATGTGCGGAGTTTGAAGAGTAATGGTTTGAAAGACGTCATCGGAATCTACATTGCCTTCTGTCACAAGCTCCGTGCTTTGTGTGCTAATCGTTGATTGCCATGTGACTCTTGATATGCAGCGGCATTGACTTCAACTGGCGGTCAAGTACCCAATCCAGCAGCAGCAGGAGCAGCAGCGCAGGACAACAGGCGACGGACTGTGTTTCCATTTGATGCACGCCTGGCAGCGGCCTCGCAGCTAGACGCGGAGAGCAGTTCCGAAGGTAAGGATCCCGGTTTTTGGATTTTGTTTCTTTGCTTGGCACTGTTGCTATAATCTACATGTATGAGTTTTGTAGCCAAATGTTGCCTCAATCTACAGGCACATGTGTATTCATGTCCTTGTTAAATAAAATTAAAAAAGGTCCTGGTGGAGACCAATGTCAATGTCTGAACATGTATTGCCTCGGCAAAAAGGAGTGATGCTGTTCATGAATGGGCCGGAATTATTGTCTCAAAACCTCTTTATCAGTGTCTTCTTATGGGGTACCTTATGGGGTACCTTTGGAGAGCAAGAATACCGTTGTGGCATACTGATGGTGTGGCAGAGGAACGCAGCACAGATGGGAGATAAGATGTATTACATCTGTTAACTGTGAAATGCTACCGACCTTGCGGATACTCATAATTGTAAGCTAACGTTTTGCTTCAACTCTCTTGTTGTTCAATGCCCCGTGCTGTAACTTGCAGGCAATAGTTCACTGATGTCACCCATGCCTGGGAGCGGCGAGAACTGCGAGCGTCGTGGTACTATCATCAGCTACCAGGCCAGCCAGATCACCGACATCACAGAGTGCGGCGTCTGCGCGGCGCCGTCCGAGGCTGGCGACACCGCGCACACTCCGACGTCGACGAACGGCAGCGGCGGTGATCTGGAGTCGTCGTCCTCACACCGTGTATTGCCACCACCGGCTGTCACCACTGGTGCTGCCGTTCTGCCCGAGATCTCGGAGCAATCGGACAGGAGCTCCTCGTCCACGGCAGCAGCAGCAGCGGCAATAACGAGTGTCGGCAGTAGTGCTAGTAGTGGTAGTGCCGGGCCCAAGTCACCGCCGGCTCTACCCAACCCGTCTTCATCGCCGCCGTCGCGCATTGTCGGCGGCCTGCTGATGGGCGCGCTGAGTGCGTTTACACCTATACTGGCCAGCCATTCCAGCGCCAGGGCCGCCGCAGCAGCGAAAGCCCAAGAAGAATCTACAGCGGAGGTGCACACAGCAACGTCAGGCACTGGTACGACTAACCTGGTTGCCACGGCAGCCGTCACTCCGGAAACTATCGACGAAAACTCCATGGTGACTGAGAAGGCGGACGTGGAGGCCATGGAGAGTGAGCGGGAGAAGACTTCGGAGTGTTACAGAGCTGTGAAGCGCTCCTCTGCGGCCAGCAGTGTTAGCATGTTCGGTTCTACTTCGGCCCATCAACCCCATCAAAGCTCCCCAGTTCCGACATCGGACAAAGAGCCGTTCTGCGGGGGACTTATCGAGACCTCACTGTAAACAGCCTGCAAAATAATGATTGTAGTACGTGTTGACCTGCAGTGTGTGCATGTAGGCGACTGTTGACTACAGACGTTTGAGACGCATGATGGAGGACTTGAGAGCAGCTCCTCTGCATGTTCACTTGCGTACATCTAGTGTAAGCAAGCAGCCTTGACGCCGTTGAAACAAACACACGTTGATGACCGTCATCCTATGGTAACGCTTTATAGTACGCTTTTTGGTTGCAAACAATGACGACTACTGTTGTATTCTTTTTACGATGCTACCATTCTGTCATATATATATATATACTTCGAAGTACGCATTTTATGACCGAACATGATGGTACTCTTTGCCGTAGCAGAATTTAGGTATTTTACTACTTTTTTTCTTGCAACACTGGCACAAACAAAGTGCATGATATGAACCGTAGTACCAAGAGTACATAACCCCCTAGAGTGTGCAACGCCTGATCCAGCTCTGCATAGGGTCTTGGTCGAGCGGAATCGGATCTTTGCGTCATAATACCGTACACATCTGAGGGGAACCCGGGGAGTCGCGGGTACTCTCGGATTAAAAACAACGGTGCCCTGCCTTGCGCTGGTGTACATGGAGTGTACGCATGACATCAGAAGGTCCGATTCCGCTCGACCAAGACCCTATGCAGAGCTGGATCGGGTTATGTACTCTTGGTAGTACTAGTACCAGGGAGCCCTATTTATGTGTAGGGCTCCGTGACTGGTTGCTACATTGCACGTTGGGGATATCATCTGATAGTCTGGAATCCTGGTGGGCCATTTTTGATTCTCAGTTAATATTCTAGCTGTATATTCTCATACTGTTTATTATTAGCCAATTACAAAAACATATCCTTTTATCCTATCTTACATTACAACGCCTCTCCATTCTGTTTCACAACCCAGAAAGTCCAGGCATGAGTTTGATGCATTGCACTATTATTATCTTACATCAGACAGTGCATATTGAACACCTCGGGTCGTGCCCAGAAACAATTGGCTCATGCACACAGGGTAACCATGCGACATGAGCAACAGTCACATTGTGCGACATGAGGACCCCCTCACAAACGCTCACAGGGGAAGCAAATGACTCATTTGGGGGTCCAGACCAGAGAGCAAACACAATTCGACATCGGTTATCCTCACACAATGGCAAAATCAAGACACCAGGCGACAAACAGAAACGTAGACACAAAGACCGAAACTGAGACAAAGAATGTTTTATGGTGCAGTTTGGTAATACAGACCGAGACGACACAGAGCAAGTTATAATATGGCCGGAGAATGCAGGCTAAAAAAAAGCAGCGGTTGATTGGACAACAACCATGCGTACATGGGCAACAACGACAGAAAGACAGAACATCAAACGCAAGCACAGGATCAGCTTGTGCACGGCCTGCAGGAAAGATATAACAGCGTTGCTGCCAAGCGGTCGTAACAGTAGACAAACATGCTATAAGACGAGCAGTTGGCAAGAATGTGCATGCTTCTTGCATAGTGTCTAATCCTCCATATCTTCCTCCTTGACACGGCCATCACTACCATCTCGTCTGCTACGGCGATCCTCGCGGTCTCGATCACGATCCCGGTCGCCGCCGCGATCACGGTCCCGATGGCGACGGTCTCTGTCGCGGTCTCGATCACGGTCGCCACCGCCGCGATCTCCTCTGTCGCGTCTGTCCGAGCGATCTCTGTCACGCTCCCGATCCCTGTCACGGTCGCCCCTGTCCCGATCGCCACCGCGATCTCGGTCTCGCCGCCGTTCTCGGTCGCCGCGATCCCGATCGCCGCGTTCCCGGTCACCGCGATCCCGATCACCACGATCCCGATCTCTGTCCCGGTAGTCTCGGTCATCTCTGTCACGATCATCTCTGTCACGGTCACTGTGTGTGCGTGTTCATGTGTGTTGCGCAGGAAACCAAAATCACACGAGGAAACGCGAATCAACAAGCAGCTACCGCATGCATGATAACCAAAATTCCCTTTTTTTTTTGTTGAGAAGGACTGGTGATGAGCTACCTCCTCAGCTGAAGAAAACACACAATTGTGCGCTTGCTAATGGGTTTCTAGTTTTCACTTCACCTTGCATTGCTTCACAGACATAAGACATGTACTTTTGACGGCAAGGTGAAGTGTGAAAGAGCAGTAGGAAGAAAAGCACACAGCACACATTACGTACCCGCCAACGTCATCGCGATCCATTCCATTACCAACGCTACACACGCACGCACGCAGGACACACACACCCACACACACACACGCACACATCACGTACATGCATGCAATGCATGTACAAACACATACATAAGTCACTGAAGCGACAATCCATTGCGCACGCTACGATGTACAAAAAATTGGCACCGCACTACCGGGCGTGACCTTGTGCGTAACTGAGATCGACCGAAAAGCGGCTACCTACAAAGTGACCCGAGTTGTTTCCAACATTCTTCAGCTTCACCAGTCTACAGAGTACACGCGTGTACTGCCAAGCCTGCTCCTAGCTCCGTGAACTGCTCGGGCAAACAGACCACCTCAGGCCTGAACAAAACAAATTCTTGGGCATCCATCATTTTCAATTTAAAAAAAAAACACTTTTATATGTGCCCAGTGCCAGCTCCTAGGTCCTGTGGACCAATGAGACTGTATCTCCTGTGGACCAATGAGACTGTATCTCCTGTGGACCAATGAGACTGTATCTCCTGTGGACCAATGAGACTGTATCTCCTGTGGACCATTGAGACTGTGTCTGCTCCTACAGATGTCGTGTGCCAGGAGGGAGGGCATTCGATTCTTGAGTGAAATATTAAGCAAGCGAGTGAAACAGAAAAAGAAAAAGAAAAGAAAACGGCCGTTGGTAGCAGTACAGTACAGCGGCTGAGACTCTGAGGTGACCTGGCCAGTGGTAGTGGTGGATCACAAGCAGCTGTGTGGGCAAAGCAGACAGCCGACTCACCAGAAGTGCAGCTGCAGCAGCACCGCCGCGGCACGGGTCAGGAGAGTAAAAAAACACACCTTGTTCATCTCATGCACCTGTTGTTGGCTCAGCAGTCTTAAGGCTGATTCATACTTCACTTCGCGTACGGGTCGCGCGATGACTTTCCCGTAAGTGAAATAGTTGAGCTCAGATCAACTTTCTCGCGGACGGGAAACCGAAATGAAGTATGAATCGGCCTTTAGCCTGGACTAATGTGCTAGTCCCCGAGCTAGCACAATGCAGTGTGTAACTGTGTAATTGTAACTAGGAAGGGGTGCAGAGCATGGTCATGAATGCAAGAAAACAAGTTCAAATCAGCTAACTGAGGGTGACGGTCAGTTGGCCAGACAGAGAGGGCAAAAGTCTTGACAGCAGCAGCGCCCATCAGAAATGCACTTGGTTTACTCACCGGTCTGGGTCCTCTCTGCCAGAGTGGCGTGTGTTCATTGCGGGACCACCACGCCGTGTGCCACCGAGGCCGCCACCTGATGTGTAGTCCACCGCCATCGTCGCAACACAGCAATTTACAACAAGTGTGCACACACCACATCCGCACGCACGCATACACCCGCAAACACGTGCAAAATCAAACGGAAAGAAGTGGTCGAAACGATACACTGGGGAGGAAAGTGAGTCAAAAATATACGGCTGCTCGCTGCAAACCATATCTTCAGCACGTGCAGGGGAGCAGGGAAATAGCAGTGGAACCCAGCTCTGAGTAGGTGTACCCTTTCCTAACAGAATGGTTCAATTTGCACAATCGTAGGTACTTCAAAGTCAGTGGAAAACAAGTTAGCAACAAAAGGAGCAGAGAAGCAGTGATAGGAAGCAGAAGACATTCACAATACACGATTTACCTGACCAGCAATACCAACCAACAGTTCCACACAGAGTCAGTCACGCCAGTCGCTGGATACCAGTAGCCATAGCCGCAGCAGCAGCAGCAGCAGCAGCAGCAGCAGCAATACAAACCAACAGGTCCCCACAGAGTCATGGCAGTCGCCAGCTGCCAGCAGCAGCAGCATGGAACAATGAGTATGTAAGCAAGCATACACACACACTTACCAAGACGCCGTGGCCTCCACGTTTTCACGGTTCTGCCCCTCTCCACATCTACTAGTACTCGGCGGCCATCAACCTTCTTACCATCACCGTGCTTGTACGCCGCTACTCACCACCAACAGCACAGCATACCAGCAGTACCAGTGGCCATCCAATAAGCACAACCACCACCCATAGAGTCAGGGAGAGAGAGAGAGAGAGAGAGAGAGAGAGAGAGAGAGAGAGAGAGAGAGAGAGAGAGAGAGAGAGAGAGAGACAGAGAGAGAGAGGCAGAGAGAGAGAGGCAGAGAGAGAGAGGCAGAGAGAGAGAGAGAGAGAGAGAGAGAGAGAGAGAGAGAGAGAGAGAGAGAGAGAGAGAGAGAGAGAGAGAGAGAGAGAGAGAGAGAGAGATAGATAGAGAGAGAGAGAGAAGATAGATAGATAGAGAGAAGATAGATAGATAGATAGATAGATAGATAGATAGAGAGAGAGAGAGAGAGAGAGAGAGAGAGAGAAAGAGAGAGAGAGAGAGAGAGAGAGAGAGAGAGAGAGAGAGAGAGAGAGAGAGAGAGAGAGAGAGAGAGAGAGAGAGAGAGAGAGAGGGTGGACAAGCGGTGTTTGTAGCCAGGAGACGAGACGATTCCCAGATGACGCAGTATACCCACCGTTTGAATCATCATAGACGACAGAAGAAACAGAATTTTCACGAAAGAGTAGATTAAATGTCTAGCAATATGGAAAGGTCAAAAAGTTTGCAGTTCATACCAACCTGCTCTACAAACCTGCTAGGTCACATCACAGCTTAGGCAGACCTTTGCCATCTTTGTCTTTTCCACACTGCCTGCCTTGACGGCCAGTTCCACTGTAGCAGCGGCTGTGCCTCTCTCTCACACAGGTTCGCAGCTATACTTTACCCAATCAATGCGTATGAAGCCGAACCGAGCTTGCATCATGCTCGTGAGCCTGTTATACCTACCCTACCACCCATTCACTTTTGATCATCATGATTGACAGCTGCAATGTGTTCTGGCACTTTCAGATGGCTGCCGGACTGCGACAGATACTCAGCCATGAGCTGGCGACTACAACAATTCAGTCATCGGGTCTTCAAACAGAGCAGCACGGCTACACCACTGCAATTAGCACCGAGCGGCAACGAACTGGCCCAAACAACAGTGACAGATGCGCGCGCACACACAGACGCACGGATAGAAACGGACGAGAAGACACAGACAGAAACACTTCGTTGGCTTCATACGCTCATGGGTCTCTAACGCTATGCACAGTTTCTAACTTTCACGGTGTAGACAAAACAAGTGCAGGCACCCTAGGTTTCCTGCACCAACACCTGAACATGAGGGAGAGCCGTGAGCTGGACACAAGCACAAGTGTTTGTTTACAACCTACCGCAACATGAATAACCGTAAAGTACATGTACTAGGATGCTGCACCACAGTTGACTAGAAGGCAACCGTAAACTACTTGGGGAGCTACTCCCTATTAACCCGGCGAGGGAATTCACGTGTTACTGCTGTCGGTGAGAACATCCTCAGAACAGTCGGACAGTTAACACCACAAGCCCAAGCATTGGCATAACAATGCACCCAGTCATTAATACCCCACGGACATGGTGCCATGCAGACGTCTCTATAGCGAGATCAAGTTCACCAGCATAACCAAATACCTTCTCCTTTCACGTGGACTTGCAGCACTGTATGGAACTTACCGCCCATAGCCAGCAGGCACATTGGCACAGGTGCGAGGCAGCACTTTGTCAAGTCACAGTGCTACCTCTTCACAAAGGAAAGCCATCACCACCCAACTACTTGCCAATACATATGCCGACACATGTGTGAAACAACCAGTGCAGCTACCGCACTAGTTCCCTGTACCACCTTCCGCAGGCATAGGGACAACCAAGAACGCTACAAGTATGCACTGCGCAAGAACATTCCTGCATATACCATGCAAAGCAGCAGATGAAATGAACCGTTTGACGCAATTCATTGGTCTGGCTCGATGCAGATCTCGGGGGACAACAAGAGCCTGGCAAATGCCAGCACAATACATTGAATACAGAGTTTGGTAACTAGAGAAAAGACACACCTGATTACATAACCTAAGCAACACAACTGCACCACAGGAAAGCGGAGGCAAAGCAAAGGGTTCAGAAACAAGCTTACCGTGCATGTCACGCTCGTGCTCGTACTCCAGGAAAGCGTAGCCACAGGGCTTGCCACTACTGCTGTCGGACACCATGTGGATCTGGACAAGGGACAAATCGCAGCAACATGCAATATCAGTGGTGCCTGGAAAATACAGTTAATAAATATCACTATCGCTGGCCTATAGCCAGGGCCCCTGGTGAAACTCCTGGCGGTGACAGCCAATTTTTCTTCAGACCTTTTTCCTTATTCATCTCTCTTAAAAAGATGAGTACATATCAGCAAAGGGGTATTGTTACATAGTTGAGCACAGGACGTGGATTGGATCATCATGTGTGGAGAGTCTAACATACAACGAAGAAGCAGAGAGACTAGCGGTACAGTCAAGTAGGCAGCAAGCCGACCCTAGAGCGAATGCTGCAATGGAGTGAACCCCTACACATGTACAGGTACCTTTGGCAAATTCTACTTTGAGATCGACAGTACAGTATGTGGCGGATATGAGCAGATACAGGGCGGTGCATCGAAGCATGACCAAGTATGTGAGTGGACATCACGCTAGGTATAATAATACAATGAGTATGCAACTGAGATCTCTTCTCCATAGGGCAGATGCGCGGAACCTGCCTTCAATGCATCATGCAGTTACATCCGCACATTGCAAAGAATCAAACACTCCACGTTCTAGGTGGTTTGAAACCAACTTCCAATCCATACGGAACTGAAATTCATGCACCACAAATTCGGAGTTCACGTCAGCACTCGATCAAATCAAGCAAAGCCGAGCATGTTGATATGTGAGGTTGTGACTTGGAGTGCATGTGTACAGGGTGTGATGCAGGCAAGCTAGGCAATAAAGGCAGCGTCAAGCATCGGACAATAACCACAGTTGCATACTGATGGTTGACCTAAGACTCGTGAGGTCATTGCTCGAGGTGATTGGTATTGAGTGACATCACAGTCGATAATAGGCCATTTTACATCAGATATCTTTCACACGGCACCAACTTGGTCCAATTTATACTGAAATAGTTACTGTAATGTCACAAAGTGCCGGTGTACTTTTATTTTCGGTACTTTCGTTGCTTCTGCTCCATACCTGACACTTCAATACACCGAACAAACACTAACACACGTAATCCAATAGGGAACTGCTTCTCTGTACCTAAAATTTCTGTTCACCTAACCTGGCCTTCTGCCCTCATGCCGAAAATATAGAGAACCTAAATTTTCTGAAATTAGAGCATCTCACCAGGCACTCTTAGCTTGCTATTCCCAAACCTCTTCCTCCGGCTTCTGCATTGACAATACTAGTACTCACTTATAATACCAGCTGATATTGTGTGTTAAAGGGGAAGTATACCCTAAAATCAAATTTTCACCAGTTGTAGTGTTCGGTATTGTGTGTTAAAGGGGAAGTATACCCTAAAATCAAATTTTCACCAGTTGTAGTGTTCGGGGTGCTGAGTCGAATGGTCTTGGTCCGAGGAAGCTGAGACGCTCCCTTCCTACTTGAATCCCAATCGAACTCGCGCACTTCCACCGAAACTGGGTGACTGCGCCCTACGAGATGGGGATTTGTATGCAAAATGTCACTAAAAGCGCCATTTCGTTCTTATAAAAGCACGGATGACCGCGATTGGCCCATATGTTGTAGTCTTTTGGACGCTGAGTCGACTGGTTTTGGTCCGAAAAGGCTGCGATGCAGCGTTCCTCCTTTATTCCCAATCGAACATGGTTGAACAAGCGGTCACGTGCTCCTGCGTACACCAGTCACCTGGTCACCGTGCCTGCAGGGTACAACTTACTAGCCTGTTTGACCTTTTTTGGGTGCAGTCCTGTCACTCGAGTTGAACTCGAGTTGAACCTTGGTGTGAAAGTTGTCGCCTGCTGGCGCGGTGACCAGGTGATTTGGGCACCCAGGAGCACGTGACCGCTTGTTCAACCATGTTCGATTGGGAATAAAGGAGGAACGCTGCATCGCAGCCTTTTCGGACCAAAACCAGTCGACTCAGCGTCCAAAAGACTACAACATATGGGCCAATCGCGGTCATCCGTGCTTTTATAAGAACGAAATGGCGCTTTTAGTGACATTTTGCATACAAATCCCCATCTCGTAGGGCGCAGTCACCCAGTTTCGGTGGAAGTGCGCGAGTTCGATTGGGATTCAAGTAGGAAGGGAGCGTCGCAGCTTCCTCGGACCAAGACCATTCGACTCAGCACCCAGAAGACTACAACTGGTGAAAATTTGATTTTAGGGTATACTTCCCCTTTAACTACAGACCATAGACCTCGATTAACCGCACACATCCGTTTTCCACAAAAATATCCGGATAGGCGAGGGAACTGGATAGCCGAACACCGGTTATGTTGGATGCACCACGTATGCTGTACATCTGTAACCAGCTATTTTCTTCCGGATGACGAGGGATCCGGATAAAAGAGGACCGGATAAGCGAGGTCTGACTGTATAGACCTCAACAATGACAAAAGATTGAAAAGAACACAGTACTAGTCATGAAGAAAGACATGAGCACAAACCTTCTTGATGGGTCCGTAGACTTCAAACTCTCGCCGAAGTTTGCTCTCCGATGTGTCATAGTTCTGCAAACATAATAACAAGCAGGAGTTTTTTTTAAACTGTTCACCCGAAAGGCCCATTCTCAATACAACCTTTTGCAACACGACATGCGACGAGTAGCGACCGCGACACACGGTTCACAATCTTCTTGGTGTTTGCGACATACCTACGCACTAGTAGTACTATGTACGTGCACTGCTTGTGCACCCAGAGTAGAAACTGTACTCAGTTTATGTACACCGCGCGTAGCATGTCGCAAAAGCTGAACTTTCTTCAACTTCTGCGACAGGCATCTCCTTGTCGCAACTGTCGCAAGCCGTGTCGCGTTGCAAAAAGCGGTGTTGTGAATCGGCCTTCGCAACCAGCAGGAGTGGAGTCCACATGGACATGTGCTG